ACAACTTCAAAAAGTAATACGATTGATTTAGTTTATATACACTACTCGCTATTTAGGTGGTATTAAGAAACAAAGAACAATTTAGAGAAAACAAAAGAACAAACCAACCTTGAGAGAACTGCAGGTGACACTTGGCGATAAATGCAAATAGTAGCTGGTTGTCGATATTCAACCCTTGTTTGCCATATCGATGCCATTCACCCTCTACCAATTTCTCATTCAATTGAGAGATCTCGCCCAGTCTTCATCCAGGAATTTTCGTGAAATATTTTGGGAAATTTAAAACTTTCTCCATCAATCGGAAACTGGGAATATCATTTTCTCTATGGATTGTCTTAATTGGGAAACAGAATGATTAAGATGATAAATATGTTTTGATTGTATTTTCGTACTTTGCATTGTGAGTAAGTTGTTCGATTTTTAAACTACTGCAAATACTTTTCTGGTGGACACGAAATGTTTAAAATATTTTATTTATTTTTTTAAAACATCAAAATCTTTATTATACACAAATCAATCACTTTAAAACCATAACCACGGAATGCATGAACGTATTTCTGTGATAGTTCTGTAAAATGTAGGCTTGCAAAAGAAATGTACTTTTCATGTAATTTGGAATCAGCTGTACAACAAGGTTAAATTAAAAGGGCATCCAAAAATCAAGCAACTAAAAATACACCTAAGGGTAATAAAAAACAATAGTTCTACAATAGTAGAGCTTTTTGAAGTTTTCAACGTTATTTTTCCAAAAGATATAAATACTGCTTCAGTTCGGTGTACTTAAAAATGTATTCTAACAGTTCTTAAACCTTCGTTTGTTTTGGAAAATAAAATTTCATATATAATAATTTTTTTCATCTTCAACATCCATGAAATGATAAACTAAGAGACGAGATACAAGTTGTCGCTAGGCCGGAAGTTTTCTTTGCCGGTGGAAATTGAAAACTTTTATCTGAAATATACTCGTAGCGTCTCAGAAAAAAAACTTTATAAATATGCGAATCTGTACGATCACTATAATACAATCTACAGTGAACAATAAGATTTATCAAACTGATTTTATAAACAATTGATGTTATGTTATACAACATTTGTGGAAGTTTATTAAAAAAATTCAGTTTTATGTATTTATTGTTTTCCAACCTGCATTTTACATTGCATCAGATCCAGATTTCGAAAAATAAATGTAAATTACGATCATACAAAACGGTGGTTAGATTTAGATACTGTCCGAACATAAGCCTAATTATGGCTTACAACGGTTGGTTAACACGAATTTACCTTTTTCCTTATTGTATTCTCAATGTAGCCTGTATGTTTCAGAAAGCTAGAGGTTTTTTTTGTAGCTTTCCCATTGCAGTTGAAATTGAAAACGAATTTATCAGGGTAGACAAGCAAGTCGAGTTAAACTTTTTTTATTATAAATTGTATAAAATCATTCTTAGTAAAAACTTGTGTGTCCTAAAACTGGGATACTTTAATCTTCCCCATGAAGGTCAATTGCAGCTTATTATAAGACCTTGGTATACCGATATAGTATGGCAACTGCCTTCATGGCTACTTAATGGACTTACAAGATTAATATAAAAAAACATACGATTGCGAAAAAAAAACTATTTTTTATCATCTTACTGTACTACCTACATCGCCTTTCTGTCGGCTTAATAATATCAGTAAACGTAAAAATGTCAATTTAAATAAAAAAACTTGAAAATAAAATTATTGTTATTACAGTTTGCAACTAGATATTGTATTTGTGTCCTAAATATTACCTAGCCATGGCCAACTCCATGGTGAATTTTAAAGCTATATTTTTTCCCTTCAAAGTTTGATGTGAGTTTTAAAATTCTAGTTGTTCTGAATTACTGTAAAGAAGTTACTGCATGTTATGTCTAAATTCATGTCTTCTTCGCAAAAGTAAAATAAGTAAAATAAATATAAAAAACAAAAAGGGAAAGCATTCTTTGTTGGATTAATATTATAGTTTAGTTGTCAATGGCAGTGAAATTAATTAAACAAATGTTCAGTTACCATCATAACTTTTCAGTTCGCCGCGTTTTTCAAGCCAGCAAGTACATAATCCATAGTTTCGAGATTCCAGCTTCCATGGAAATGTACTAAAAGTTGTGTGAATTAAATTTAGAATAATTTACAAAACAAAAACAATTAGAAAAAATATGTTAGGAAAAAGGATATTTTTATGCTAGCAAGTAATATGTCACTCATTACATGTTTACTCATCCTCATTAACACTCATTGTTGTTTATATTGTTGTTTATGAATCAAAATTGTATATAACCATACTACTGTACCCTGATCAGTAATGTGTTAAAAATTAACAGTAAATCTATTATTGTATAAGTACTATATAGGTTTCTTTTTTTAACAAAATATATTTTGATTTTTTCTAAAGCAAACTGTATAAGACAGCAGGCGGCGTCTTAGTAAATGCAAATGGTTTTCTCTCTAAATTGCCTCTCATAAAGACATAAATCGCATCCATTCCCTTTCGTTATATCTTCCTTATTAAAGTTTGGTACAAAATTTACGCAAAAGTAGATTATACCTAAAAATATCAGTAAAAACCATCCGTGATTTTTGTTACTTTCAAATTAAATTCACATGTTGAGATTTGTTCAACTAAACCTACTTTAACTAGATTCTGATGGTAAAAAACAACGAGTGTAAAAAGCTTAAACCATCTCGTTTTGTTCTTATCTAATCAGACAAGATGTACCATTCAATTAAATAAAACTAATTTTCCTACACTCCTTTATTGTGATTTTGACGGTAAGGAAATAAACAATAGTTACAACATTCTTAAGTTAACTGAGCAGTATCTGTGGAAATAAGCAATAATGAATTATAGTCAAAGTTACTTGCAAAAAGATTTAAAGTAGCAAGTACTTTGTTGCACTTTTTATATTAGTAAAACTTGAACTTTGTGAAACTTGGAACAGAAGCATAAAGCGAGAAGTTTACAGCACCTGGGAAATCACTAAGTGGCGCTGGGGTCGAGACTATCATTTACCTTTACAAAACTATTCGGGAAATTTCCATCATCGAAATGTTACCAGAATAAAATATTTAAAAGTAACACAACCGAGATAGAAAATGATCATAATTAGGCAGCATAAGTATAACTTTTTGTAAGGTAAATTCACCTTTCTCAAATAATAGTTAAAATAAGTTCACTTCTCAAAAGAATATGAATTAATTAAAATGTATTTAACAATTTACAATATTGTAAAAATGTATACAACCGGCACAATGTAACACGGTATAAAGGAATGTGCCTACATAATACTTTATGATTAATATAAAGAAAATAGCTTAAAAACAAGTTTATAACCCTAACCATAGCATATGCTAATACGAATTTAATGAGTGGTGGTTGTAAAAAATATGTTTGAAATGCGTTTGGCTTTCAAGCTCTCTTTTATAAAAAGGAAATATCTTAAACTAGTTAAGTTACGTTAACAAAAGGAACGTAAATACCTGAAGTTTACAGCCTCTTGGAAATTGCAAGGTGTTGCAGCGCAGCGACTTCATTTGTTTCTTACATTTGTATTAATTTATTTTTCATCTCCTTAAAATGTAGGAAAACATTTTGTTACTAGCCTACACATTTCAATTTCTTGTATCACAAAATGTTTATTTTATCTTCCATATACATTGCTTTTATAGTTGTATTTATTACATCGCAAATTGAAAATTGTGTTTTATGGATAATGTTTTCTAGATTTTTCACAATTTAAATTCAAACGTGGACATTCAGTGATAAAAGATTTCTGGATTCTTCGCCAAAAAGGCAAGAAATCCACGGTAAATGAAATTTAAATTTAGCTATTTAGACAAAATTATGACAATCTGTGTACTTTATATCAAAACTAAAGTAGTGTTTACAAATGATTGCAAAATACGTATATCAATCGCTCATATCACTTAATTGCGTTCCAATAAATACGCAATTGTACTATAAGTTTCAATGGATTTATAAGAATCCTGCTGTTAGTGTCTGTGTATGATTGCATTACACATTCATGCAAGTCTAACGACAACGTAAATAAGCGAAATGAAATATCCATTACAAGATAATGTTAGTCATAAAACGACCTTCCTGCATGTGCCTGTGTTTAACTGCTCATGAATAATTAGTACAATAAGAAATATATAATATCTAGTTCTTAATCAATTGATATTTTAATAAGAACTAATTGATAAATGTATTTGTAAAACATATTTTGATAATATAGCTATGTTAGCAATTTTTAAAAGTTTGAATTGATTTATGGGTAGATAGAGAAAGTGTTGCTCGTTCAAAAATATCTTGCAGCTTATATTACTATAGAAGCAAGACTGGTGAATCGTGTTAATATTCAAACTGATATCACACAGCAGGATCCGATAAGGTGGAGATTACTTTGATCTCTGACAAACACGCTGCAGTTTATCTGCAAATTTTCGTTCGTGGCTCAACACAATTGATAACTGCAGTTGTAGGTTTCATTGGAAGAATTAATTAATTTTACTTTTCATGCTGTAAATATGGAAAACTGTATATTTTTAATATTACAATATTTATAATATTAAAAAAATCTGTAGATTTCGTTACATTGTTAACGTTGAAATTAGATTTTTTGCTGATTCAATGATTTTTATGTGAGTATTCGGTTTGCTTGAAATGAAGATGAACCAAAACTAATACAGACTGACCTCAGGCGTTTTTTTTAAATTAATATCAATTCTGACCACCGTCCATGTAACAAAGTGCTTTATTCATAAAAAGTAATATCAGTTTCCACTTGGCTATCAATAAACCGAGGGTAATATTACTTATTCTCTACTATGCAATAGTACAAATGTGATATTTAGTAAGCATGTTTCAGCAATACTTACTTATCGTAACTTAATAGTTTAATGCGTTTCTGTCTATTTGTATTTTTACATAGTTTATTCCTTCCTTTTGTATACTAATTTAAGTCATTTTATGTTTACAGTTTGTTGTGATTCGTGAGTGCAGTGTGGAAGGATTAGCGGAGTGATAATTGGTGAGTTTACTAAATAGTAAATCTAACAAAGATTAAAACTTTTAAATTATAGTCAATGTACAAACAGTCTACAATTTGAAATTATCTAAGAGAAGTAACATTTTATGCTGTATTTTTGTAAAGCTGGTCAACTTGGGTCAACTTTTTTAGAATTTTCGGCCTCGTTATTCTTTAAAGTACTAGTTTAAAGTGCTACTTATAACAGTTAAGATATGGGATAAACATTATTACGTCAATTAAACTTATGTTTCGGAAGTTAGATTTATATTAATGCCATGCTTGAAATGACAGATTAATTGAGGTGTAAAGTTATCAATATTACCTCTGACATCAAATAGTCAATGGTATTACCTACTTATCTTTGAAATAATAAAATATAAAATTTATGAGTTTAAACATAGCTTGAAGATTATTGCCACTTAGTCATGGACCTTTAAATTTTTTATATGTAGACAAACGAGTGCAACATATTTAAAGAAATATATTTTCAAAGACAACTAGCAAGCTTGGAAACCACAGTATCATAAATAAGTATTAATTTACACATCAACAACGGTAAAGTTAAGCATGCTTGTTGTAAATTGGCGTTTGTTTAAATAAATAAATAAAAACAATTTAAAATGAGTAAATTAAGAAGTTTGTCCTTTAGGTATTTATTATAAATCCCTTATTTATTTATTAACGGATACACCACCATTTTTACAAGAAAATTTTCAGAGTGTCCTTGTGACAAATGGTTGATCAGTACATAGGCATATGTCATGAAAAACTGCTTTCCCTTTCCCTTTTTTTAGTTGGTCCCTTGTTTAGTTTGCATTCTATTTTTAATACTCTGTGTTGAATTTAGAGCAGCATGATCAGTACTTATCACTATTAGTATTAACTATCTTGTGTATTTTATTAATTGTTTCTAATTCCTTTCAAATTTGTATAATGGTTTAATTTTGCCTAGCTAGAGTTGCATCTCTTAGCAAGATGTTTTATCCCTCTTTTTAGAAAGGAGTTTGTGCGTTTGAACAAATGAAAGTGGTTTGAAAGGAATGTCCTAAGCACAGTTGATGGCTACAGTTTATCCAAATCTCACCTGTTATTTAGAAGAGGGATGCAAATGTCTAAGTAGGCTTGCGAGAAGTGATAACAGGATTGAACTGGTAATGTCCGGTTTCCATCAACACGATTGCTTTAGATGTGGTCACAATTAAAGCATTGGATTTAATTTTATTCGGTTATAACTAACATCACGTTGGGAGACCTCAATAAATTACTAGAAATAAAAACATAAATGGAATTGTTTTTGAAATGTTTTTTATTCATGTGAATAGAGTTTTATTGGTGTAATATGATTGTAGTGATTTAGTTACCACGCGTTTAAATGAGGACCTTTGAGTTGTCTCTTTCCACCTCTACAATTGTAGACAATTAAGGGATTCTAGACGTAGATGCACATTTTAATTACATAAAGTTTGTGCTGCCAACACAAACTGCTCAAATTTAGTAAATGTGATAATATCCTTTTGCTGTCGAGGTTTGTGCCTCACTGTCACTTTTCGTCACTCTGATCGGATCAAGACCCCAGATAGTGTATCTTTAATAAAAACCTAACACTAATTGAAGTGCAATATACTCCCTAGTTTTGTAACACAAATTATTGACAGTTTTTTAAACATATGGTTTAAAAAATAAAATTATTAGGAATTCAGTTTACAGTTTTTGACGGTAGAGTAAATTTTGGTAAACGTTGTTTGACACGAAATACTTTTGGGTTTTTCTTGTTTGTTAATGGAAGCACTCATAACTTAATGGAAATTTCTGGATCCATTAAGTTCTCAAGTAACGTTGGGAAAGTTTCGCCTGTCAGTTGTATGATAACATTAGAATCTGGGGTTAGCTAAGTCCATTTAGAACAATTAGATAAACACCATAACATTAGTGATCTACAAAGGCTACATAAAAAATGTCTCGACAGAATGAATAAAGTATATTTTACATCTGTGTTTAATGTTCTATTAAAGTTTATTAAGTGGTAAATTTCGTTATATTGCAAATAATTTAGTCTAATATTATGAAAATAAGTTTGGTTAGATAGTTTTTAAACAATAGACATAGACATAGACATAGACATATATTATTCATGAATTGGGTACAAATTATACAATGTACATCTCAATCGTCAAATACATTATATGGTCTAGTAGCATTTAAATCAAAACGAAAAATAATTAGTTAAATCTATTTTATTCTAAAGATTTAAACAAATAAGTCAAATAAAAATGCCATGTTGAATGAGATCAGGCAGAAAGGAATTCTTCGGTACTGTAAAACTCACCTTCCACCAAATAATTTTTCAGTAGTTTCCCAAAACCATTAGAACCCAACCTTGAACTGCACTGCTCTAATAACTATATTATTAGAATGTATATTTGGATATCAATAATTTAATGGTGCTATCTAACGAAAGATTTAAATTTAACACTAGAATTTAGGACGTTGCCCTAAAACAAAAAAAACACGCCTAATTGGTTGAAACACCAACTGAAAACAACATAAAAAAGTAAGGACATTATTGTTTAAGTAAATAATATTTATTATGTTTGAACAATTACAGAATTTTACGGGTAATTAATGGCAAAACAAATTATGTGGTATTTCTTCAATCTGAACGAGGAGAGTGTAGCAAAAGGTATGAAATGTCTCCTTAACCGTAAGAGGTCACTTCCTGTCACATGTCCAACCACTAGATATTTTATCTTATTACTTCTTATTTGATAAATAATCTATTCTATGGGCAGTGTGTGTGGTTTTCTCATAATTTGTACACTAGACCTTTTTTAATTTCGCAAGTGTATGACAAGTTGATGATACTGCATTGACAAGACGTTTGTCACCTTTAACTTTCCACTTTAAAGCTTAAACAATATTCTGTAAAACAATACTAAAGTAAGATATAGGATGACGTATTGTTTTGTAATAATAATATAATCGTTTCAATGTATGTTTAACTATTTGACAAGAAACACCTAGTAACACTTTGTATTCTTGTTCAACGATATTTTCCGTCTATAAATATATTACCTTTTATTAAATTTAATCATTTGTAAATAGTAGAATGTATTCCTCGGTGCAGTAGTGAATAATTCGACTAACATTTTAACTAGTTATGTCAAAATCCTTTTAGTATGTAATCGTGTAAAAATATATTGAATGAAATATGAGATCCGCCAATTCCATTTCTGCAAGCGTCAGACTCTAGTACAAAGGAGCAATTTTCGATCAGATTTTCCCCACAAATGGGAGATAATATCCTGTTCTCAAGCGGTTTTGCGTGGTTACAACTGTAAATATATTCCCAATAGTTATTATTTATTTGTTTTACTCATTTTGAATGCTGAATATTTTTCGTGTTGTGAAAAATACAGCATGCCAGTTTAAGCCTGTAGTAGGCAAATAAAAAATCTATATACGTTTGAGGGATTAATTATTTACATACTAATCACCATTACCTCAAGGATATTATTTTTGAAAATAATAAACGTAATAAATGTTTTTATATAGTAAATAATTAAACTAACTTGTTTGGATGTTTAACGGGTTTAATTGACTACCGAATCCACAAACCCCTAGTTTCACCTAGCCTTCTACTCTCCCTATCCCTTTCAGACCCAGCGCACTCAATCGTGTAGATAAATTTTTAAGTTCTAACAACCTAACCAACACGATTGTTTAGGTTAGATGTTCATTTGTTTTTTGTAGTTTCTGGATCTTTCTGTTGCTCAGACCTGTACGCATCGATTGTGTAGTTATGGATATCAGCTGGGAATTTTTGTTTTGCAGTCTGCCTTCATGTCTTATGGTAACACTGATTGTTTTGTTGCAATACGGTAAGATAGGAGAAAGAGGTAACTGTTAAGGTAAATGACTGTTTTATTAATGTTTTTAAACGTATATAATGCTAATTATTGCTGAAACTGAAATGGTTAATATGGTATTATGAATGTTTCATCTTAAAAAAAAGATCTAATCAATAATTTTAGTATTTGAAATCTAGGTTAAAAACCAACATTTATTCAAAATTTGCTCAGGGCTGAAAGCGGTCAAGATGACCAAGATTCCCGGGTCTGAAAGGGCTATAACAGAATAAGGGCAGAAAATTTTCAGAAAGCATCATTCTTTCTATCATCGATTTGCCAGCAATAAAATAAAGATACTTCTTTGAGATACAATTTCCGTATCAATAAAGTTATAAGACTTTATTTCACTAACAATAGAGTAAACTTGATCAAAGTACTCAGGTTGTAATACACAGAATGTAATATATCATTCAACTACAATTACTTACCTTAACAGACTCAAATTATGTTGTAAATGCAAGGGAAACGTGACCATTTAAACATAATTCTTAAATATAAATAAGGCCATATTATATTAATTAAACCATATGATGTAAAGATTTCAATTGAAAATAAGTTAATGTTGATATGTGTAAGTCCCCACACAGAGATACGTTTTCATTAAGTTCCGATTAATTACTTTTCTCTTTATCTTTCACGCAATGATTGCGTTTTATAAAAAGGTCTCCTTACCTTTTACCACCACAAATTAAATGTCACAGACAGACTTTTAGCTTTATTGAAAATACATTAAGTGTTATAAATGGGTTTCTTTCGTATTAAGAAAACATAATGTAAGAAAATAGTAAAATAATTTCAAGGTAATAACAACATTAAGTACTGTACCTAGTAATTAAATATTTTTACTAATTTACTTTAAGACCAATATAGTTTATTAATTGAATCATTTATCATACACAAATTTTCTGTGGGAATACATCAAACTAATTATTGATTTTAATTTGCGTTTATTTGATTACATTTATTTGATTAGGTTTATTTGTGACACCATACTTACATGCGTGTGGTCTTTTCTCTGCTTAAAGTATTATAAAGAATAAAAATTACTTGCAGTAATAGTTGGACTTGGTAATAATCTATTGGTAAAAGTTTGACATACAATTTTTTTTTTTTTTAAAAAAAGGTAATTAGAAGAGAGTAAAAGGAGGATGGCAAGTTTGGAAAAACATGCATCTCAACTTAATCAAGTTTGGACCCAACGACAAACACAAAACTTTTAACTTTTCAGGACAAGCTAGATGTTTGTTTTCGGCTACTTTTTATGTCTTCGTACCTTTAGCTTTTTATAAATTAATGTCAATGCCAGGTGCATTATGACATGAAACTTGCTAGGTTATATTGTATCGTATAGTTTAATGATGAAATTAATGTTCGAATAAATTATCCTGCCATGTGGTTAAGTGTAACCGCTATTGGGTGGTAACGTTCATCCAACGTGCACCGTATCTTCACAACAGGAAAAATGTATTTCCTGGAGCATGAATTCAGTTGAGAAATATGTTAAAAAATGTCAGAAGCAAAATACAATTAAATTAAAGCAACAACCATTACATGTGTAAATATGTTGTTTTTAATTTAAATTTTACTGTTACCGAAAAATGTTTTGAAAATACTAAATACAAATTCTACGTAGGCTGTATTTATTGTGTAAACATTTTTTATAACTATATAATGTGTCCCTAGTATAACTATATCTATAATTAATATTTTACTTTAGTTAACATGCCACTTTTTTTCAGGTGATAGTCAAGATTAGACGAGACTTAGCGGTCATGCAAGGTAAGTCCAGATAAGATATGTGTTTAGAAAGTGTACCATAGTTATGTGATCGAGTTAGAAATAATATAAGTAAATCAAATCAACATTACTGTTTTGTAGGACTTGGTGAGGGCGTTTTATCCTGAAAGTATGCCTTAACTGATATTACCATGCAGAGTAGATTTAAACATCAATCAATCAATCAATCATTCTTGTGTTTAAAACAAGGCTAGCGTAAATGGAACTTATTAGTTTTCCTTCTTCGAACTTAATACCAATGGCGATTGATTGGCATAAACTACTAAACTAAACTAAACTACTAACTAAACTATTAAACTTTTATTTATACTCATTTTACTGTTATAACTATTTATAAACAAATACAGGTTTTAAAACACATTCATTTGATATAATTACCATTCTTAAACATTTTACCACATAAACTTACAAATGTTACTTAAATATGGAGGTTTATTTTGAGAAATATAATCATCTATTGTTTATTATAGTTTTTTAAGTATTACCCTGAGTTTCAAACCACCGACTCAGCTGCTACTCCAGCACAGCCAAGATACAGTTTCCCTACTAGTTCACGTGCTGACCAAATCTCATGTTTTTTGCCTGAAGGTCAAATCGCATTCTCAGAAAGAAAACAAGATAGAAAACATAGGTAAATAAAGTTTTTGCTCATTCAATATGTGCTATGGGTCATACACCATAACACAACCTTAATATTTTACCTGCATAGCTAAGTTTCTCTTTTACAAAAAGCTAAATCAGATGTAAACCATAACTTATCATTTTTATCTAATCCCTTTAGTTGTTTTTTTTAAAGGGACTTCTTCAATTCAGTTTTATTTATTGAAATTATTTCTTTAAAAAATATGTTTATCCTAAAACCAAATCTAACATTAAGGGTTTAAATTGAAAGTAAAAAAATCTATTTACAGCAAATATAATCATTGATTTACACTTTATTGTTGACTACTACTAATATATAAGCGACACAAAGCCTTCATATTAAAAGTCCCATGTTTACATTCAAAATTTCTGTGAAAAATAGCATCAGTCGTTACAAGTGACACCTATTTATCGTTCTAGCTTAACGGTGTCAAACAACTAATAACAATCCATAAGTCTTCTTTAAACATGTTTGTAGGGCGAAGATATTCTCCTTAGACTGAAGAAACTAAAATACCTTAAACAGTTCATGAGTCTCTTAGAAGTTATGAGTAGAGATTTTTAGTAATTAAAATACCGTCGTATGTAAAGTAGTGTACGCAACTCGCGTAAATAGTGTTAACGACACTCGTAGAAGTTTTTATACTCGTGTCGTTAACACTATCTTTACGCAGTCGTTGCGTAAACTACTATAACGCCGAACGTAAATTTATAATATTATTTTAAGAGTTAGTCAGGAGTAAAAACTAACTGACGAGGTAGCAGAGTGGATAAAAAGATGTCGATCCGTACAAATCAAAAGATCGCTGGTTTGATTATACGAAAGGTCAACTCTGGTTGCAGTTGTTCATATACTATTGTAAATGGACTAATGACTAATGATGTTTTCTAAGCAATGATCAAATTTAGTCACACTATAGAGTTGAATGCAGTTGTCATTCATGATTGATTATTTGGAATTGTGATTTTAATCAAGCACCTTAATTAAAATTCAAGTTCGAAAGTACAAACAGATACAGATATAAGCTTCCAAGGACATAATTCACAAAATAATCTACGTATTACCTACGTTTGGTAGTTTACACAGGTAACAAAACGTTCTAAACACAAAATAAACATTCTCGCGTAGCCCCATGGTAACTAGCTTTGGTGGGAAAACATCATATGTGAGCTCGGGATTACTATACTAGCAGTGTAGTGTATTTAGTTACTAACAAGCTACAGAACAGATTTGTTAAAGTTAAACATAACAATTTAACTCATAAACAATACAAAATATATGTTAACAATATCAGCATAGCAACAATAGCAACATACAAAAATTATGGTAAAAATATCAATTAATTGTATACTTAATATTAAAGATTATGCGTATAATATATGACATAGTTTTGAGGATTGTTGATTGATAAATTTAAAGGTTGATTAGGAATAAGCTATTTAGCTTACTATAAACAAACTTTAAAAGATACTTGAATAAAATTAAAGATGAATATGTTTGTTAATATTTTCATAAGGAAATTTTTGTCATTACTTTTCGGTTTATTTCGTAATTGCGGACTTGAAAATTAACTTAAATTCAAGGGCTGCGATTAATAAAACGAGAATCAAATAAAACCAATATTTCACATCCATAACAATTTATTTTTATAAAAAGTTGGCAAAATAGCTTTCATCCTGGGGTAGTACATTTTGAGATTAAACTATTGTTTTATTGGTGTTAGTGATTTAATAACTGGAAAAAATTTGCTGTTACTAAACATATTTTGTATAAGTAAACGATGAAGCAATAATTGTTACGTATTTTGAGAAAGAGTTATAATTTATCAGCTTTAAAAATAAAATATTTTTAAAATGTTTATACAAATCAGTGACCTATTTTGGTAATTTAAAGCGACAAAAACAAACTACTCTTGGGTGTCCTGCGGGTGACACTTTGCGATAAATGTAAATAACGGTTGTTTGTCAATAATCAACCCTTGTTTTTCATATCGATGTCATCTACTCCAGAGTTTAGTGTTGTTTTTGTTTTAAATGCTGGACGAAATTGTGAAATGTTTCAATAATTAGATTTTAGAAGACAGTTATTATTAAACATTATCTTTTTTTAGAATAATATTTTAGTTTAAATGTATTAAAATTATTACGTACCTAGTTTAATTTAGTTTAATCACTACTTAGGATGATATCTTTTGAAGACGGTTAAAGCTGAAGTCACATGTTCGAAATTTCGTTGTAAATACGCTATAAAAACTTAGCTTTTAAACGAATATTTAAAAATATGGGTGTAAATTGATGCGATATCTTGTTATGTGACAATAGTTGAAACTACTTTTAAAATTATTTCCCAGTTAAATAATATAAAGCTATGTATTGTTTTAAATGTAAAATTACAAATAAAATATTTCCAACTTCAAAATTTGTAAAATAATAAACTAAGATAAAACAAAAAGTTGTCGCAGGAGCGGAAGTTTTCTTTAGCCGTGGAAATTGAAAACTTTTATCACAGCGTCTTTCGTGACGTCTTAAAATCGATAACCCATATTGATAAATATGCTGTAGTCTGTCGTTACGATACAAAACAGTATTCGATTGTAAAAAAACTACATTATTTATTACATTACATTGCTAAAATTACATTAACTAAAAACTCCTTACGATATTAGGCTAATATTGTTTTATCATTTAATATCTAATATATCTCTTATATATTTTAATATAATAGAAGAGTGACTTGATGAAAAGTAGGCAAAACTGAACAAAGAAACACCAACCTTACTGAAGTAACAATAAATACAATTTAGTAAAATTATATTACTATCAAACTTTGAGAAAACATTAATGGCAATAAAAACGTTGTACAAACAAAACTGCAGTACAAAACTGTCATGAACAATAAATATAATAAAACATAGCAACGGTAGTTAGATCATTTGTAATATACTGCTAAATAAAAAACAGAATGCAACTATCTAAAAAGTTTAATAAAAGTACAGTATTTAAACTACGCTTGATACTTGGTTTCTAGTTTTTTGAGAGCCAGGTGCATTTTTTCTATTAAAGCTGAAATAATGCGTTTAGTGTAAATAACTTAAAACCAAGATAGACATGTGAGGTTGACTGTATGAGCCTGTATGGAAAATAGTCCTAGATGTTGACATCATCATGTTTATCATATATTTTAATATTTTCCAATAGAGGAACAGTTTTTAAATCAGTATAATCTACGTCAACTGTATTTTCCTACCACTACATGGAAATGTTCGCATTGTTATAACTGGAAACAGTACGCAAAATAGGCCATTGCCGATCTAGAGCAGGAATGGATCATTCCCGCTCGTTAAATCAGCTGATTTCACAACAATGCACAGTGGAAAGAGATGGTTGGGTCAATAAACCATTTGAAGCCATGTGAACTCGTCAGCGCATTTTATTAGATTGATGTTTAAATAGTTAGTTGTTTTGTGTTATTCTATAAGAAAATACAGTTGACGTAGATTATACAATTCTTTTTGTCTATGATTATACTGATCTAAAAACTGTTCCTCTACTGGAAAATATTAAAATATATGATAAATTTTCTAAGACGAAGGTGCATATTTATCTATGAAACGGGTTAGTCATATTATTATATTGAGGTTCATCGCCAGTCATTTTACCCGAAAATTGAAGCCATAAAACGCTTTCTATAGAGTATTTTGATTTGACCTTAAAGCAAAAACTAGAATAGTAGAACAAATGGGAATGGGTCCGTTGCACTCCCCTTAAAAAACGTTTGTCTGAAAATGTTATCAACCCGGCAGACAGTCTTATATTATGACCATTGCTGTAAAGTGCTATTTTTAGTTTATTTGTTCTTGTTATGCAGAAGATTGTGTTTTGTTATAAGTTGCTATATATTTATACAGATTATTTTTGTGTTATAAAGCACTTTAAATAATAAATATAAATAAACTAGAATAGACAAAAGAAATATTATATTTGAAAATTCATGTTAGCTTGATTATTTCCATATAATTAATTATATTATACTTTATTCTTGATTTTACTCACTTGGAATAATATATTCTATGTGGAATAATACAAACTCAATATTGTAATTTTTCAACTAAAACGAGTCGCAACAGCAACATGTTGTCGTAAAGAACTTCATTATTTCAGTTCTTCATTCCTAACGACTGATAATCTGGGTTAATGGACTATTACTCTCCCTGAATGGTTATTGATATAGTTCTAAGGTCTGTACCCAACGATTCCTGTAATAGAAAACATGCAAAGTTAGAAGAGATTCTAATTTAATTTTGCTAACGACCAGAATTTTCTATGGATTTAATCTATAG